GGTTTTAAGTCATTTATCCACTTTTAGTTTAGGTTGTATGGAATGAAGAGGTGCAAAAGAGAAGTTGAAGAGAGAAATGTGGCGGGTGTGGGTTTAATATCTTGACACCTGCACCCTCCTCCCCAATTTTGTTGAACCTTTTGAAGTTCTGCCCAGTCTTGCAGACTCTGGAATTAGGCAGGACAGTCTGGGAGAGACCAATTCAGTATAAAAACCAATGTTTTTTAAGGGCCTTTTGTTCATCGACTAGATAGAATAGGTGGTCTTTTTTCTTTAGTAAACTGAGTTTAATCATCAGCCACAAAATTCTTTGACAGCGTCTCTCTTCAAGATTGGCACTCTCTCAAGGTCATCATTCCTCCAGCTAGAAAGCTATATTCACTGAAAGCAGAAATAAATACTGGTCACCATCCCTGTTTTAGTGGCCCTGGCCATTCCCACTGATGTATCTGTTGTGTCCTGCTCCCAGCCTTTGGTCATCCAAATCAAGTATTAGTGGGACCTTCCAAAACTTTTCCATTTCTTTCCCACAAATCTAAGTTATAAATAAGGGAGATGAGTCTTAAACTTGGTATTCTTGTCCAATTAGCTCATCTTTAGCAGCATTGTTGGGGGGCTTGTGGAATGGGACTGTAGCCATTTTATAGTTGCAGGATAACTATGTGGTTTCCATTTCTCTTTTTTGGTCCATTAGGATCTTTTAAGTGGACTTCAGGGAAAGGAGTTTTAGAAATTTAAATGTTTTATGTATTAAAATCTATTTTATACTGTGAATAATAAGTTTATTTTTTGTTCTGTAATTTTAGTTATATTACAAATTGTTTTTCTTATATATTGAAGACCTATGTGGAATTTGTAAATCATCCTAGGTGTTCTATCTTTAAAGTTAAAATGACTTTATACATTGAATTGCTTCAATGTTTTTTGTATTCAATCAGCAGCAGACAAAATCTATAATAAAACGTATCTGGAAATAGAGCTACACACCCCCAACAAAGTTGTTGATTTCTTGAAGTTATTTCTACTTTCATTAATATCCTCTGATTTACTGGAAATATGTAGCCTTGGTTATGCTATCGTCATGAATTTCCTCTCCCAAGGAGTAGTTTAATATTTATGAATGTCTATTGTCCTGCAATCCTCACAAATCTCTATTACTAAAACCAATCAAGCAGCCTGAAGACATCAGAAACTATCCATCCTAAACACAGAGATAAACATGTCACCCAAGTGAAGGAAAAATCCTTTGGTGCATCAGTTTTCTGTTTCTCATAGCCCTCCTTCCTTTCCCTATGTTGAAAGTTTCTACTCGTGTATACCAGAGGATATAATAGACACTTGATATTAAGGATTTTTCATGAATCCTCAAATTCATGCATATGGAAATGTTTAATACCTGATGCCAAAAATGAGAAACCCCAGCTTCCAAGAAGATTTTCAATGACTTGGACATTTTTTAACATATCGAAACTTCCTGACCATTTTTATAAGTGACTTTATGAAAGTAAGGGCACTCATGATGGTGAATAAAAAAAAAAATACAAAGGTAAAATGAGAGAGAAATGCTGGGCAAACTGGGAGAGTGAGGTAGGTTCACACACCAGCATCAGTTTCTGAGGGTTCGGATCTTTGGGGCTGCTGGTCAAACTGGTCCTTGTTAAGTGACCAAATGCCCATTTTTCCAGTATTGGTTCTTTAGCTGATAATATTAAAGAACTCATGTTTTTGTCAGGTTCTTTGATCTCTCAAGGATAAGCAAGATAATTCATATTTTACCAACCTACATCTTCAATTACAATCCTTGTGCTAAAGATCCCTACTGTCAAATTTTAACTCTCCGTTCAGAATTCCCATTGCACATTTACACTTGGTTTTCCAATTAAAACGGGCTTTTGTGAGTCCCCTGCTGATAGCCATTGGCTTGATAAAAAGTAACTTCATTTGCAGCAAGGGTGTTTAGGGAGCCCCGTGCAAGGCTGACTCTCTTCCTGCTGCCTTAAGCCCAGCTGTGCTGAAATATTAAACTTTAGTAAATTAGTTGAAATTGCGGCTTCCTGGATGATACAATAATGCCCTCTACTTTTTTTTCTGGAAACCGTCTTCAGCGTGAGTTCTCCACACAATTCTTTTGCTCTAAGAGAAAGAAAATTCAGGCTATCTTCCAAATCCAGACAACTTTTCCATTTTCAAGATAATTGTGCCCTCCCCGCGAATCTAACAGAATGGCTAAACTTTCAAACACGTAGAGTTGGAGTATGTTGTTATTTCAGCACTATCTGAAGACATCATGACTTTATCATGCCATCCTCAGAGAAGCAGCTGGGCCCCTAAAAATGTCAGACATAAGTAAAAGACTTAAGTAGCAACTTTTCCATCATTGATCAGTACACCTTTCAACAGCAACAGTGAGCTATGGGAGGAAATCATGTTTCTAGTTACATTTATTTTCAGATTTTTTTCTTCTTCTTTTTAAGAAGAACGTGAATTCTGAGGTGTTTTATTCATTGACCAAATATTTATTGATCAACTACTATGTGCAAAGTTCTGATTTGTTTTCAACCAAGTGTTTTGAATTGGAGTAAATGCAGAATTAGTAGAAAAGAACCAGGCAGCCTGGCATTTCTCTTCTTGACATATGTTGTTTTTCCTTCTGTGATGAACTCACCGGCGACAGCTTTATTGAGCTGTCTGTACGACTAGCTTCTCAAAGGCTCTCGCTGGCTTTTCAGGTTAAGACCTTAATGCCTCTAGGAGAGTCTAGTTAATACATTTTTGTTACTTAGGCCAGTTAACTGATTAAAACCTTTGAAAGTTCCTTTATCAAGGTCTTCACAAGATCATAGAGTCCAAGGGTTGCTTTTGGAAAAATCAAATGTATACAAAAGCAAATTGAATAGTCTAATGAGCCCCCATACAACCATTGTGGGGTTTAGGGTTCACTGATGCCCACCAAGGGTTCAGAGTCAGGGGCAAAGCGTGGGGAGGTGGCAGAGTGGGGCCATTGGGCATGCGCAGAAAGGACAGCTTAGGGCCGAAAGAGGAGAGGCCCACTCCCAAATAAACAATTGGGAAGCCAGACTTTATACATTGTCATCAGATCACGCTCTTTTAGTACATAAGATACTAACTAATCAATGAGCTGCTAACCACTGTGATCTAGCCCAATACGATTTAGAGCCGGGGTCTGCCAACTTTTTCCGAAAAAGGCAAGATAGTAAATATTTCAGGCTCTGTGGGCCAACTGATCTTTGCCACCAACTTAATTCTGCCCTAGACAGAAACAGCCGCATACAGCCTCTGATAACGCAGAGGACTGGGCGTGGAGGGGTTCCAACGGAACTATTCACGAAAAAAAAAGGGCAGGGGACAAATTCGGCCTGTGGCCGGTAGTTTGCCCAACCCCCAAAGACTGCCTGGCCCCCGGGCATTCATTCGCTGTCTGTTTGAAACTGCCTTTAAGCAAGGGGATGTTCTTTTAAAGTCCCTCGCAGACTCTATGCGTGGGACGATCCAGCAGAGCGACTACACAGTTTGAAAAGTTTTTTGAAGTGGGCCCTTCCTTCCCTGCCCTTCCGCCGCTCCGGGCCCTCCTCTCCCACGCAGGGGCGCGGAGAGAGCTGCGCTCCGCCTGCGTGGGCCTCAGGGAAGAGCGCGCGGCCACTCCCGGGAAGGTGAGGGCGCAGAAAAGTTGGAGCCCAATCAGCACAGAGTCCAGCTCCCGAGCCCCAACCTTCAGGTGACCCCGCGCGGCGGCGGCGGCGGCAGCGGC